AAGACTTAAACTGAACTTACAGCCTAAGCTGACCTGTTTAACAGAACCCAGAATATTAGTAACTTGTATGCTTTAATGTACTTATCCAAAAGTGCCATTTGACAGCATTTTACAACCTGCACATTATAAAAGCATTAATAGTTTTCGATAAATTTCTTTTAATATTCTATAATATAATATTTTCCTATTAAAAATGTAGAATATTTTTTCAGGGAATTCTTACTTTTTTCCTCTATTATGGGCACTAAACAATTTTGAGGAAAAATCAGTTTGATACCAGGATATCACAAGTAGGATATTTACCACTTTAAATATTAGTAACAGGAAAAAAGATTAGTAGCTCTATATGTTGAAAAGAAATACTCACTGTCCCTAATGTCTCATGGCCCTTTCATAAACAATAATTCCTTTTGGAATTGCCTGGTAAAAAGAAGCACTCTTATCAGAAAATGAAGCTAAAATCTTAAGTTAGATGTGACGTATTGTGTTTCTGTATTTTTCTGAATCAACACTAGATAAACAGCAGATGGGGTGCCTTGTGTGGCTGAAAGAATACTAATAATGTGTTCTGTTTTATATAAAAATTTATTTTTAGAATTCTACAAATGGCTCTAATGTCAATTTGATAGTCTTAGCTAAGCTGTTTGTATTATGGTAACACATTTCTGCTACTAAAACACAGGTTCTAGTATTGAAATTCCTTGGGATACATAGCTTTGCATTAGATGGATGAAAGAGATTTAAAAAATGAACAGGCATTTTAGGAAAGAAAATGTGTTCTTTTGAAAAGAAATGTTTAATAGAAAACACTATGATTATAGTACAGAATATCAGAAATAACACTTTTTCAAGCTTCAAGAAGTATGTACCTGTAGTTGCAGAATACTGATATTTTCCTTTGTGCAAGGCATTCTAGCAAGAAGTTTAAATTTATTTTCTCCTTTAATCTTCATAGCCACCCATAAGATAGATATTACTATATGTAACATTATTTCCTACATTTTACATGGGGAGGCTGAGGATCAAAATGTTAGAGACAAGACATAAACCCAGCCTCTCTGCCTTTAAAGCCCGTGTTTTTAACCAATATGTTACACTGAAATGCTTTTTTAGAAATATCAACAACCTTTGGGACTTGTAACTCTTTCACAAAATGCTCTGAGCCTCTTAGAAGGCACTAAATAAAAGACATTACTTTTTTTAATATTTATTTATTTATTTATCTTTAGAGGGGAAGGAGAGAGGAAGAGAAATATCAATGTACGGTTGCCTCTAGTGCGTCCCCTGTTGGGAACTGGCCTGCAGGGAACTGGCTTGCAACCCAGGCATGTGCCCTGACTGGGAACTGAACCGCGATCCTCTGATTCGCAGACCAAAAGACATTACTTTAAAAAACCCAAGTATTTGGAAAATTACTAGTATGTTAAATAATATATCAGATGGAAATGCACTTTAAGAATAAACTTTACTAATCTGAAATTGTAAAACAGACATTCTGACAACTCAGGCTATGTATATTTCATAATTAATTCTGGATTCAGGCATTAAATACTACTTTCTCAAGTATTATTTAATATACATTTTGAGAAAGTGTTCTTGCTAAAACCAGTTAGTACAATGTATTTTAAAATCTAAGCAGTAAAATTCTGTTTACAGCAAGGATACTGTTTTAAATGTTTTTAAATCCTTTATACAAGCCCATATTTCTTCGAACTATGGACTTAAATACAAGCCATTTGCATTAAACACAAGTGGTATTTTAAAACAATTAGACAACTGCTTTACAAACTGATTTTTCAAATATCTGACGGGGACCAAATATATGGTGACTGAAGATGACCTACATTATCTTGTTAATCAGTATCACCCCAACAAATGTAGTAAAAAGACAATATTTGAAAGCTTCAGTAAATAAGAAATGACTATAAAGCAACCTCACTGATTTTTAAGCAAACATATTCAAATATTATTCTCTAAGTCGCCTAGTAGGCTACTCTAAGGATAACATCATTGCTTAATACATTCAAAAAATGTCTCATTAGAAATGATCATCAGAGCCTGCAAAGTATTCTTTTAGGCAAGCTCAGGAATAGCAAATGCTGTTCAATTATATATGAATAAACTTCAAATAGGAACTTAATAACTCTGGTACTCAATTCACAAGTCTATATGAGTATTTTATCAGTAAGATAATGAATGAAAACTAATTATTAAAATATTAAAACATCAAAGTAGAACAAATATTGTATGATTCCACTTAAATGCAGTGCCTAGCGTATAGGCATACCTCATTTTATTGTGCTTTGCTTTATTCCACTTTACAGATAATGCATGGAGACCCTCCACCAGCAACTAGATTATGACTATCTGAAGGCTCAGGTGATGGTTAGCATTTTTTAGCAATAAAGTATCTTCTCTTTAAGGCATGTACATTATTTTTTTAGACATAATTCTATTGCACACTTAATAGACTACAGCCTGGTATGAGCATTAACTTTTATATGCACAGGGAAACAAAAAACTTCTTGTGATTTGCTTTATCATGATACTTGCTTTACTGCAGTGATCTGGTCTGGAAATGAACCTGCAGTATCTCCAAGGTATGCCTGTAGTCAAATTCACAGAGACATAAAGTAGAATGATGGCTGTAGGTGACTGGGAGGCAGGTAAGAAAGGGGAGTTGTTGATTGGTCAAGTTTCAGCCTGGGAAGATGAAAAATTTCTGAAGAATGATGGTGCTGAGAGTGGCACAAAAACAAATGTATTTAGTGCCACAGAACTATACACTTAAAAATAGTCAAAATTGTAAAATTTTGTTACTATTTATGGGGGATATTTTACCCTCGTTCAAAAAAAACAAACAAAAGCAAATACCCAAGTGACTGTCTCTCGTTTGTCAGTGGGCTCTACTCTGAGTGGACTATACTTTGCTCACAACTGAACTATTGTTAATGTGTGTCGCCATATTCTTTCTTTCTGCTTCAACTTCCTCCCTTTAGAGTGGCAGGAATGAAGCCATACTATCTATATCATAAGGTTGTTTGGGTATCAAATAAGATCACAGATTTACCCACATAAAATTTACACAAATAAGAGTTCATATTTGTAACACTTTATATTTTTTGAACAAGCCAAATTTAATGCAACACCTATTACTTAAGATTGAAAAGAGTCACAAGTGAGTTCATAGGATTCATACAAGGAATAAAACTTTAATCATGCTTCCACTAATCTTCCAGAACAGCCTCTCAACTGCTATGCTGAAAAAAAAGTTAACGCTAAATCTGGAAAAGAAAAATACTGCAGGGAATTAAAAAATGCATGTATGTGAGTATTAATCTATGAGGTGTTAGTGTGAAAAACATCCCTTTCCATCAGAATTGGGAAAATTTTTCTATGAAGAAAGGCCAGAAATTCCCAACTTGATATAATAAAAGGCACATACATATACATACATACAGTTGTTTGGGGCCAGTATGGAAAAATGAATGAGTGACCAAAGTGGTTAATAACAGTTTTTTGGTTAAACTTTAAATAACTAATTAATGCACTTCAAAAATTAAGAGACATTCACCATGCATGAGTTGAATTTTCAAGAATTCAGAAAAACAAAGTATAGTTTACCACTGAACAACACAGATTTGAAGTGTGTGGGCCACTTATATGCAGATTTTTTACAATAAATACACAGTCAGCCCTCTGTATCCCCAAGTTTTGCAACTGTGGGTTCAACCAACCGCTAAGTGTATATATGCACTGTTCTATGCCATTTTATAAAAGGGACTTGAGTATCATAGATTTCGGTATCCACAGGGTTCCTGGAAACAATTCCCTGTGGATATCAAGGGATAACTGTAGTTCAGTTTTGGGGAAGTCAAAACTTATATACAGATTTTCTATAGCATGGGGGTTGGCACCCCTAATCTCCACGTTGTTCAAGGGTCAACTGTAATTCTAAAAAAAAGCAGAAGAAACAAAGTAAGGTAATGACAAAAATAACTAAACTAAAAAGATAATCCTCTAGTAAGACTGATCAAGGGAAAGAAAAAAAAGATCATACATTAGGAATCGAAAAAGCAAATAGTAACAATTTTCAAAATAAAAAATGTGAATAGCTTTATACCAATTTATTTGAAAAGAGGAAATAATTTTTTAGAAAAATATAAAGTCCCAAAAATTCCTCAAGAAGAAATAAAAGACCTGAATAAAACAATTATGATTAAACAAAACTTGTCTTAAAAGGAAGAAGAGAGGTGATAGCTACTAGTAGTATAGCTCCAGAGAAGGTTTTAAGACGAGAGATAAATACTTAGCATCAACTCCTCTGAATTACTTTCCTTGTTCTACTCCTTTCCTAGAACTAAATCCCAGATGAGTGTGAGCAAGTGACTATACATTTCTAAGCCGCAAATGAGACAGATGTTTAAGAACTCTACAGAAGGAACCTAAATAAATGATCTCCAAAGTTCTTTCTACATCCAAAATTCTATGATTATGATTATCTAACCTCTTTAAACTAAAAGGTAAATTACAAAATACTCAGTATGCAAAAGAGAAAAACCAAGACCAATTAAGAGATCAGCTGGTTTGTATAACTGCATTCTATTAATTTTGCAACTGTTAAAACAATTCCTATTTTGAGTATCAGTAAGATTTCCACAAAAAGAAAGTGTCTTTTTGCTAGAGCTGGTGAAGTGCTTCTTCCCCTCAAACCTGCAGACTTCTACAGAATCAATAAGCAACTGTTTTGAGGTAGCAGAAGTAAATTGCTTAAAAGCCCATAGCTTAGACCTGTAAAAGTTGAATTTTAAAAGGAAGATGTTTATAGAGACATGTGTATGACATTATTACTACAATATATTTTGTTCATTATCTTCACTTTAAACTTTTAATGTACAAGTTGAAAGTTCTTAAAAACCCAGCTAAGATTAGCTCTTTATAGTAATATGTCCTCTTTTCACTATTACATATTCTGAAATTTAGAACAAGGCTTCCCTTACCTGATATGGGCATGGAATGTGATATTCTCTGCAGCGTTCTTGTATCCATGTTGTTTCCCAGATGCCACGGTACGCTTGCTCGTAAAAGTAGCATCCAATTACAACCAAGAGTGGCACGAGATAAAGAATGCTGAAAACACCAATCCGGATCATAAACTTCACCAATTTATCTTGGTTCTCCTTTTCTAATGGAATCTCAATTCGGACTCTGTTTAGTGATATAATGCCAGCTAAGAGGAGTGAAATTCCAACCACCACATATAGGCAGAGGGGTGCAAGAACAAAATATCTCAATGCATCAACATCGTAGAGGCCAACAAAACACACGCCACTGATATTGTCACCTTCAATTTTATTCATCGCTAAAAGGATGATAGTCAGAGTTCCAGGGATGCCCCATGCACTGGCGTGAAACAGCAATGCTTTCTTCTCAATAGCTTCACTACCCCACTTTGGCACAGCTGCCAAGAACCATGTGATGGTAAGAATTACCCACCAAACGCTGCCAGCCATAGTAAAAAAATAAAGTACCATAAAAAGCATGGTGCAGGCTTTATTATGAGATCCTTGTGTTACTGTGGAAGCCTTATACTGTGCAGGGCTAGATGCGTTGCAGGCTACTCGGTCCTCGAGCAAAAACCCAATGAAGAAAATTAAGGATACCATCATGTAGCAGACTGCATAAAATATAATAGGTCTTTCAGGATACCGGAATCTTGTGACATCAATCAAAAAAGTTAAAAAAGTAAACAACGTGGCAGAGAGGCAAATGATTGAAATCAATCCTATGAAATATCGAGCAAATGAAAGTTCTTCTCTCCTAAAGTACATATTTGGACAAGGAGGTGAACAATCACGCACGTGCAAAAAAGAATAACCAAGGTCAGGATCAATTTTCAACTCTCGGGGACACCAAAAACCATAGTCCCTCTGTACTGCCACTGGGGCTCCTTCAGTAGGATCTCCAACTAAATTCAGATCCACAAGTCGAGGGTATGGCTCATCACAATCTGGGAACCTAAAAAATACAAAATGAGAACCATTTTACTAAATGGGAAATCTACTGAGACCTAAAAATTTGGATTTCCAAATTTAGCACTTGTGACCTTACTATTTATTCTTATGTCCTGGGAGCACATTACAATAAGTAGAAATAAAGTAAATGGTAATACCTTTTGTGTGAACAATACAACTAGATTTTCATAGTTGACAAAAAAATGGTAAGGTTTTATACTTGTTTTTTTAAAACAATAGTTTTTCTTAAAACGGTCAAGCATACCCATCAAAAAAAGTATATATATATATAAACTATTTAGGATACACAATATCAACATATATAAAATAAGTAAATATAAACGTATAGCTCCAACAGAATAGAAGCTAAGTTAATTTTGTCTAACTATAGTATAGTCCTCAATTTCCTCCAGCACTTAAACACAAGAGTTAAAAATATTCCCTATATGAGTGGCCCAAGGTATTTTGAGTTAGACTAGCATTTTAAAATCCTTACAAGTGGCTTAGTTTTTAGGGGTTTTGTTTTTTTAAAGATTTATTTATTTTTAGAGGGGAAGGGCAGGAGAGAGGGAGAGAAACATCAATGTATGGTTGCCTTTTGTGCATCCCCTGCTGGAAACTAGCCTGCAGGGAACCGGCCTGCAACCCAGGCATGTGCCCTGACTGGGAATTGAACCGCGATCCTTTGATTCTCAGGCCCACGCTCAATCCACTGAGCTACACCAGCCAGGGCTTAGGGGTTTTTTATTTCCATTTTATGGTCACTCTCCGCTTATCATATTGGTTAATTACAGGCCTTCCAAGGTCTCCAATGGCAACTAGTTCTTTCCTACCATTCCCAATTTCTCTGTAACCCACTGCATTCTCCAATTCAGTTATTTTCAAACTTTAAAGTGATGAGAAAACTTAAGGTCCTTTTTTTAAAGTGTAAATTCTTGGTCCCCCACCACCACAAATCAGTGTAATTCCAGTATACCTGTGCTAGGGCCCAAGAAATGTGCATTTTAACAATTTTCCAGATTCACAGACTTGAGAAAGTATCATAGCCTCAGGACAAAGAAAACAAATAGTTGTATTGCAGACACACTTACATGACTAAGGGTTTCATTCTCACAAACTTCCTGCACCATCAAATATCTTTCCGGTAACAGTTTCTAAGCCTTTCAGATGCCCACTAACTGTTTACTACTTTATATGCATCAAATAGTTTCCAAGAAACTATCATTGATATTGTTTGTCAAATGCATGCATAACCTTGTGCTGTGGCAGATTAAACGTTTATTTTCCAATATAAACATTTTCTTCACAGGGCTTGGAATTATAAAACCAAAAAACAGAAACTTATTGTATTCAGGCATTTATCAGAATCCTGCAGTATGCCAGGGATTTAACATACAAACAAACAAATAACAAAAAAACAAAACAAGATCTCTATCCTTGAGTCTAAAAGGAGATAGACGCTTGTAAAAACAACATAAAATACAACAGTGTGATAATGAAGCAACCAAAATCTATATAAGTATAAACTGATATAGAGAATGATTAATTATTTCCGGGGAAGAGGTTAATAAAAGACTTCAATTCTGAAGCAGTATTTGCCAGTACTGAAGTACGCCAAACAGTACTTTTGCAAGAAATGCAAGCAAAAGCATCAAGGTCTGAACAGGGTGTGTTTAGTATTGCTGGAACTTGAGGTGTGCATGACTTGTAACAAGAGATGAGGTTGGAGAGGTAAGAATGTTGCAGAAATATATGTGTGTGTATGTGTATGTATGCGCATGCATGTATACACAAACAATAACATAAAATTTAAAACCATGCAAAGTAATACTATATATTTTATAGATATATTTGTATATCCAAATGCCAATTCAACATATACACGCCCTTTACTCTTTAAGCTTTCCAAAACCAAACTCTTGATTTCTACTTCTTAGATTTCTCCATCTCCACAAGTGATAATTCCATTCTTCTAGTTTGCTCAGGCCAGAACCTTGGGGTCATCTTTGAAGTCTGTTCTCTCTCATTTACACCTCACAATCTACCAGTAAATCCTGTCATTCTACTTTGTGATATATCCAGAATCGGACTTCTCTTCTTCCCCACTGCTGCCCCCCAATTTGAGACATCTGCGCCGCTTTCCTGGACTTCTGGGAGTGACTTCCAATTGCTGATCTCCGCTTCCACACAGCAGCCACACCTGTGCTCCGATCACATTTCCTCTGCTCAAAATCCTCCAATGGCTTGCTGCCCTTCTCACTCGGAATCAAATCCAAATTCCAACCCAGAGGTACAAAACGCCCCCAACCCCCAGTATTTTTCTGATATTATTTAATCTTTCCATCCTCCCTCACTCATTGGGCTCCAGCCCCTTTGGTCTCCTTGTTGTTCTTCGGCTACACCAAGCATGCTTCTACTTCTTTAAACTTGCTCCTGTTTTCTCACCTGGACTGTTCTTCCCTGAATATCTGTATTATTTGTTCTTTCACTTTAATTAGGTCCCTGTTCAACGCCTCCTTATCAAAAAGGCCTTCCCTACTGTCTCCACAAAAAAACAGAATCCTTCTGCTTCCCTGTATTGTATCACTACCACCTAACTCTACTTTCTTAATAGCCATTCCTTACCAGCTGACATTACCTATGTGATATCTCCTGCCACTAGCACTTCAGCTCCGGAAGAACAGAGACATTCTGCTCAGTGCTTGTCTTCAACACAGAATAGTGCCCAGCATACAGAACGCATCCAGTATTTGTTCAATTAATGATTGTTGAATAAATATTTCCATATAGCCCTAGCTAAGACAGGGGTGTCAAACTCATTTTCACTAGGGGCCACATCGGCCTGTGGTTGCCTTCAAAGCGCTGAATGTAATCTTAGGACTGTATAAATGTAACTACTTCTTAACAGTTAAACAAGAGCTTGGCGCTGCCGATGGTTAGAAACAAGGTGCCAGGCCAGATAAAACAAGGTGGAGGGCCAGATTTGGCCTGTGGGCCTTGTGTTTGCCACCTGTGAATTAGAAGATGACTAGGAGCAGTGTGGAAGACATATTTGAGCTGAGCAAAAATGGGGAAAAAGAGATACCAGTTGAGCCAGAACTAAAACCATACAAGGCAGTGAGAATGTGACAGCTATGACCCTCACCAGGAAGCTAGTTCAGTTGGTTAGAGTGTCATCCTGATACTCCTAGGGGTGTGGATTCGATCCCAGTTAGGGCACAAACAACCAATGAATCAACCAATGAATACATAAATAAATGGAACAACAAATCAATGTTTCTCTCTCCCTTCTTTTCTCTCTCAAATCAATACATAAGAATTTTAAAAAGAAAAGAATGCATAGCTATGAAATTAGTTAGATTAAACCAATGGGATTTTAACTGATTGAACATGGAAGCTAAGGTCAGTGAGGGAGGAAGATGACCTCCAGAGAATAAAAAAATGTCCTAGAGATAAATTAAATTTCAGACATGTTGAACTTTAGGTATCTGAGACAAATTCAGGCTAGGATTTTCCAACAGCTTCTGGATATGGAGATTTGGAACTTGGTAAGAAGATGTCAAGGATATAGATATAGACTTAGGAGTCATCAGTATATGAAAAAGAGGTTAAAATCAGTACAATGTTATTATCTGGGGAAAGCATGTAAAAATCAAAGAGAACAGAAACAGAACTCTGAGAAACACCAGTATTTTAAGTGTCAGAAAGAAGAGGATCCAAGAAAGAAAACTGAGAAGGATTGGTCTGAGATATAGCAGACCACAACAGTTCACATATGATGGCCTAGCTGATTTTTAGGAAAGGAGGACAGGCTAAGGTTGAGGGGAATAAGGGCCAAATACAGAATAAAAGTGAAATATGGGTTTGAAAAGGGTTATATAGCTTCGGCACAGGTGCTAAGGGTAATGAAAATAAATTTCCCTGATGACCAAATTCAAAATTGACCAAAGACGAACAGCAAGTAGAATTACTTTGGTTTGACTCTTTAAATAAAAGCATAGGTAATTTTACAAGAAATTGGTTCAATCAATCTAGTTGGAGATTTGAACAAGTACAGTCAAAGGAATAAACTGAAATTGCTAGCAAAAGTGTTATTTCAAGGGATGGACCACAAAGCTTAGGCTAAGTAAGGAAATAAGTTAGATCAGGAAGGGGTTCTATTGAAGAGGGGAAAACCCCAAAAGTCTGTGGGTGTCCATGACATAAAGACAAGGTACAGTAGGAACAAAAATATGAGAGATGTGAAAGAATGAAAAGTTGTTATAAAAGACCAGCTTGCCAGAATTTAAGATTTCAGAGTTAGGCAATCCCAGGCAATAGTGAGGACATGAAGTACATTTAATCCTATCAAAACAGATAAAGAAATAAAGATCATAATGAGATTTCTATCTTGTCTATAAGCTATTAACATAAAAAGACCACTAAACAATAAGAGTTAGATACAGGAAACATAAAATACAATTCTGGCCCACTCAACTCATAAGTGTTGTTATAAACACCAAGAAATTTACAGATTTCTAAAGAGGAACTATAAATGCTATCAGGTGTTTGAGGAGGGAGTAGATAAGAAAGCAAAATGTAAGTAAGTAAGTGGACTATAAGAAATTGATGTTTTATTTCTTAAATTTTTCCATCTCTGAAATGTGAGTAACACCTGCTTTTTACCTACCTCTGAGAGCTACTGTCAGATAAAAAAAAATTAGTTTTAAACACAAAGAAGAAAAGAATGTTCACTGAAGCATTGCTTATAACAGCAAAAACATGAAAATAACCCAAATGGCTGTCACTAGGACATGGCTAAATAACTATAGGATATTAATACAACTGGCTATTATGTAGTAATTAAAGGGAATCAACCAGACCTAAAAATATATGGGTACATGTAAAAAAATTTAATGTTATTTATGGGTATGTATATAAGTACTAGTATAAAAATAAACAGGAAGGATTAACAACAAATTTAACATAATGATCGCTTCATCTCCGGGGAGGAAAGAAAGGAATGAAATCAAGACAGATACCAAGGAAGGACTTTTCAACTCCATCTGTATTGTTTTATTTCTTAAAAAGATGCCCTGGCTGGTGTGACTCAGTGGGTTAAGCACCAGCCTGCAAACCAAAGGGTTGCCAGTTCCATTCCCAGTCAGGGCACATGCCTGAGTTGCAGTCCAGGTCCCCAGCTGGGGACACTTGAGGTACAATCACGCAGTGATGTTTTTCTCTCTCTCTCATTCTCCCTCCCTTTCTCTAAAAATAAATAAATATTTTTAAAAGAAAAACTCAGAAGCAAATATTGCAAAACATCAGGAATCAACAAAGCCAGACAGGAATAAGTACATACAAATTCCTGTTATTTTGTATTCTGAAATGTTTCAGAATACAAAGAGGGCACGATGTTATATAAGAAATACAGCACTGCCCTGGCAGACTAGCTCAGTTGGTTAGAGCCTCATCCTGATCCACCAAGATTTGATCCTGGGTCAGGGCACATACAAGAAGCAACTAATGAATAGGTAAATAAGTGGAACAACAAATTTATGTTTTTCTCTCTTCAAGGTCAATTAAAAAATACTGCTAATAATAATGTTCTCTGATACAAATCTGTAAGACTGTCTAGTAAACATCTTCTAACCTTTAGGAAATGCTTACAATCTATATATTGTAATTAATTAGAAAAGCATCAGACATTTTCTGGGTCTGGTCTATTAATATATGACAGAAAACCAGAACTGACAAAACTACTTTAATCATTAACACATTTAAATAATAAAGATATTTAAGTCCTATTAAATCATTGTTAGAAGTATTTAATGATGAGGCAACAAATGATTATTTTTTCCTCTGTATTTTCTAATTTTCATAAACGGCATTGCTTTTATAACCAGAAAAAAATTTTAAGGGAGGGAAAAAATCAACTATTCTGTTGATTCAGTATTCAGCCTTATATTCTCCTTAATTCTTTTAAAAACTTCTTCATAGCAATGTTCTCTTTTTTACCTTTTTAATTTAGTGCTTCCAAATTTCTAAGGAAATGAATAATTCTGAAGCCATAAACAGCTGTTTGAAATTAAGACTAATATATACACTTTTTGTTAATAAGTTTTAAAAAATTGATGAACTAGAAGACAGGTAATTTTTAAATATGCTGCGACATAAGTAATGATCCATGAAAAACACGATTTTCGCACCTACTGCATTCCATGTCTTCAGGCCAAGGGACACCAAACATCTCCATGAGCTTCGAACACTCGCTGTAAGCCCGCTGACACAGCCTACGACAGGGAAGTGTGACCCGTCCATATTCCATACAAATAGGAGCATAGAGTGCGCAGAGAAATGGCCGGAAATCCCGAGAACAATCCAGATTCACCATAGGGTGGAATGGCTAGGAAAAAGTTAAAATTGAATTAGAGGAAATAGTAGTATATAAATTAAAGTTTTCTATATACAGTACTGCAATATTCATTTTTTGTTTTAAAAATTTCTGAAGGTTATTAAAAACTTTGAAGTAGAGCTTTTTGTTTTTTAAATAAACCCTCTTAGCCCTGGAAATTCCAATTTGGTTACATCTGAGGTGTATCCCAGAATCTTTATGTATATTTTAATTGTTATAGGTGATATTAATGAAGAGCTATGGCTGAGAACCACTAACAATATGATTCATTTTATAAAGAAAAAATACAAAAGATCTATGCCAAATGCTGAAAAGAGTGATTACTACTTGTAAGAAATTTTAATATTCTTCCTTTTATGTATTTCAACTTCTACAATTTCTTCAATTAACATGTATATCAGGAGAGAGAGGACAAACAGTACAAGGGAAGGAAAGGGGAGAGAGAGAAGTAGGTATGGATACTAGTAGTTATTTTGAAGATGAGAAGTAGGGAAGAGAGTGCTACCCTTTTCTTATATTTTATTGTTCTTTTTATGTTAAAAAAATTTTTTTAAAAAAAGAAGAGTTCTTAAACTCTGAAATCACATAATATAAACAGAGCTAACACTGTAAGTTGATATTAAGAAAACAGAAAGGAAAATAATAGTGGCTCCACACATATAACCACACAATACTTAAAGTCATCATCATAATCACAGCAATAGATCAAATATCACAAGAAGTGTACATCTGGGCTTTTGACTGTCAAATATTTTTTTCACTTGTTTACATAACAGTTTCAGTGTCATTGTTGATTTTGAATTGATAAAAAATATTCTCATCACTAGGCCTAATGAGTAAAGAATCAACTTATTTCTACACTAATATATGAAGCAGGACCCCCCCAAAAAACTTAGATTATCTTCTGGAGGGTGGGCCCCTTGTAGTACAGGCCTCCCCTGCTTGGTGAGTGTTCCAGGAACCCATCTGTATCAGTGTATCAGCTGGTGTAGTTGTGAAAGGCTGCGTTAAGCTTTATGAAAATTTTTCTGAAGACTCCACACATTTGCCCATTTCATGATAAGTGACTTACAAGTGCACCTGCCTGCACCACACTGAGTGTTCAGCAGTTTTTGACCAAAATCACCACGGCTCCCATGTCCCACACTCCCTATTCATCCAGTCTTACCCTGCCCCCAAGGGACTTTATTTTGCTTCCTCAGATGAAAAAAGTCTTCAAAGGGAAACTTTTTGCAGATGTGAAAGTAGTAAAACAAAAAATGGCAAAAGTATTAAAAGGCATCAAAATCAATGAGTGCAAAAAGTGTTTTGAGCAGTGGAAAAAAAGTCTTAAAAAAAAGTCCCACTTTATCAAATGGAGCGTACTCTGACGGTGACCAAAGTTTAAATATGTAAGAATATATAATTTTTATAAACAAATTCCAAGTTTTTTTGTCCTTCCTCATATATTTTCCAGAGATCTTCCATACACAATGAAGTCAGAAAAGCAAGAGTTACTTAAAGAAACTGATGTCAAACTTGTTAACTGTATAATGGATATGACATATTATGTAACAATAAAACTATCTGTAGTGATAAACTATATGTTACTATCATTTCCAGGTATTAATGAGCAGTTTGTATTAAATCAATAATTCCATCAAGAACAACATTAAAATATAGAAAAAAAGTTTTAAAATCGAAGGCTTTGGAGAACTACTGAAAGAAAAGAACCTGAGAGACCAAGAATCCAGAGAACAGGAAAGCATGGTGAGGTGGCCCAGTCAGCGTAGCCACATTTCCAAGGAGGCATTTGTTGAATCTGGGCATAGGGCAAGAGGCTAAGAATCAAGTTTTGCCTAAGCTGATGCTAAAACACCAAGAAACCGTAAGAGCTTTGATGATTTTGTGAGGCTACAGACAAAACTCACATGCAAAAAAATAAGGCTGGACTCTTGCTTTACACCACATACAAAAAATAACTCAAAAGGCATCAGAGGCCTAAACCTAAGAACAAAATCTATGACACAGAAGAAAACACACAAGTAAACCTTCATGACCTCAGATTTGGCAATGGTTTCTTAGTTATGACACCAAAAACACAAAAGAAAAAATAGATAAATTGGACTTCATCAAAAATCAAATTCAAAATTAAAAGCTTTTCTATATTAAAGGACACTATCAAGAGAATAGACAGACAAGCCTTATAATGAAATATTTATAAATCTAATATCTGATAAGGTTCTAGTACCCAGAATACATAAAAAACTCCTATAATTCATCAAAAAGACAAATAACCCAATTTTTTTTAATGGGCCGAGAACTTGAACTGACATTTCTCCAAAGAGGTTATACAATGATCAGTAAGTACATAAAAGGATGCTCAATGTCAAAGTCATTAGGGAAATGTAAATTAAAACCACAATGAGAGCCCTGGCTGGTGTAGCTCAGTGGATTGAGCACGGGCCTGTGAAGCAAAGGGTCATTGGTTCAATTCCCAGTCAGGGCACATGCCTGGGTTGCAGGGCAGGCCTCCAGTGGGGGACACATGAGAGGCAACCACACATTGATGTTTCTCTTCCACTCTTTCTCCTTTCCTTTCCCTCTCTCTAAAAATAAATAAAATATTTTTTAAAAAACCACAATGAGATACTATATCACACCCACTAGGACAGCTATAATCTAAATAAATAAATAAATAAGAAGTGTTGATAAAACTGTGGAGAAATTGAAATGCTTATACACTGTTTATGGGACTGTAAAATGAGGCAATCACTATGGAAAAGTTTGGCAATTCCTCAAGAAGTTAAGCACAGAATTAACATATGACCCTGGAATTCCATTACCACATACATAACTAAAAGGATTAAAAATGGTGTTCAAGCAAAAATCTGTATATGAATTTTCACAGCAGAGCACCATTACTCATAATAGTCAAAGGGAGAAAAAGAAACAAAAAGCAAGAAAATGGGAAGAAAATAAAGAGGAGAAACCAATGAAACTGAAAACAGACAAACAACAGAGAAAAAAAAGCACTCAAACCAAGAGGTGGTTCTTTGAAAATATCAAAAATTTAGATAAACTTTAAGCCTGGGTAGGGTAGATCAGTTGGTTAGAGCATATCCCAATCTGCCAAGGTTGCAGGTTCAACCTTCAGTCAGGGCACATACAAGAAGCAACCAGGGGGTACGGGGTGGTTGGAACTACAGATGGATGTTTCTCTCTCTTTTTCTCACCTCTTCCTTTCTCTAAAATCTATAAATTAAAAAAACTTTTAATTGATAAGCTTTTTAGCAAGACTGATAAAAATGAGAAACACAAATTACCAATATCAAGAATGAAAGAAAGGATGTTACCAGAGTCTCTGCAGACGTTAAAAAGATTAGGGCATACCTATCAATAGATGCAGAAAAAGCATCTGATAAAATCCAGCACCCATTTATGATAAAAACTCAGCAAAGTGGGAATACACAGATCATACTTCAACATTTATTATGTAAAGGCCATATACAGAAAACTTACATCCGATATCATACTCAATGGGCAAAAACTACAGCATTTTCTCTAATATCAGGAACAAGACAGGGATGTCTACTTTCACCACTCTTATCAACATAGTACTGGGAAGTCCTAGCCACAGCAATCAGACAAGAAGAAATAAAAGGCATCCAAACTGGAAAGGAGGTAGTAAAACTGTCACTATTCACTTATGACATGATATTAAACACAGAAGATGCTACAGGCTCCACCAAGAAAAATTACTAGACCTAATAAATTAATTTGGCCAAGTAACAGGATACAAAGTCAATACTCAAAAATCCATGGCATTTCTATATACTGATAATGAACTATCAGAAAGAGAAACTAAGAAAACAATCGCATTTACTGTTGCAGCAAAAAAAAAGTGAGGTACCTAGGAACAAATTCAACCAAGGAGATGCAAGACCTGTATTTGGAAAACTATAGGACACTGAAGAAAAAAACTGAGGAAGATACAAGTAACTAGAAGATTATGTCGTGCTTGTGGACTGGAAGAATTAACATCATTAAAATTTCTATACTACCCAAAGCAACCTATAGACTCAACATAATGCCTATTAAAATACCAGTGGAATATTTTGCAGCTGTAGAACAAATATTCCAAAAATTTATATGGAACCAAAAATGACCACAAATAGCCTCAGCAATTTTGAGAAAGAAGAACAAAGTTGGAGGGATTACAAAACCTGACACCAAACTAGACTGTAAGGCCACTGTGATTAAAATAGTCTGGTAATGGCGTAAGAACAGGCACATAGACCGACGGAACAGAATAGAGAGCCTGGAAATAAACCCATGCCTTTAGGTCCATTAATATTTGACAAAGAAGGCAAGAAGAGTATACAATGGAGTAAAGACAGTGTCCTCAATAAATGTTGGGAGAATGAGACTAGTACCACTAACTTACACCATACACAAGATAAACTAAAAATGGACAAAAGACTTAAATACGAGTCATGATACCATAAAAGTTCTAGGAAAACAGAGGCAGTAAATTTCAGATATCTTGCATAGCAATATTTTTGCCAATATATCTCCTAGAGCAAGGGAAAAAACGGAAAAAATAAATGAGACTGCATCAAATTTAAAAGCTTCTGCATAAAGAAACCATCAGCAAAATGAAAAGGGAACCCACCGTAAAGGAGAACATATATGCCAATTATACATCAGACAAGGGTTTAATCTCCAAAATATATAAAAAACTCCTGACTCAACACCTGACTCAAAACAATCCAATTAAAAAATGGGCAAAGGACCTGAATAGACACTTCCCCAAGGAGGACATACAGATGGCCTATAGACATATGAAAAAATGCTCAACATCACTAGCAATTGGAGAGATACAAATTAAAACCACAATGAGATACCACCTCACACCTGTCAGAACAGCTATCATCAATATATCAACAAACAAGAAGTGCCGGCAAGAATGTGGAGAAAAGGGAACCCTAGCGCACTACTGGTGGGAATGC